TTACAGATCTAGCAAAGATACAAAGGAGACTTACAGACCATATATCTAAATATTTAAGCCTTTAAGTCAGAGAGCTGGGTATGGTAGTGCATGTCTAATAATTCTAGTGCTTGGGAGGTAGATACAGGAGAACCATGGTCATCCTCAGCTACAAAGTAAATTTAAGGCCATCCTAGCATACCAAAACAAAAAACAAAAATCATTTTTAAAAAAAGCAAAAAGTTATAAATCAAGCTTTCAACTATTAGATATATTTTACCAGCTACCATGATAAATACACCTTTAGAACTAACTAGAAAGTGAGACACAGTGTGCATTTTTGAACTGCTTAGAGTTTGATGCAGAAAAGTAGTGGTAGAGGAAAGGCTAGCTATTAGCTGACTATCCACTACCCCTTTTAGATCCCACAAGGGACCTTTCACACAAACACAAAGTTACCCAACCCCAAGTTCAGCTATACTTATTATCTGTCCTGTGCCCACTCCCCATGTAGGAGCACCCTAAGGCCTTGAGGTGAGTACACTGGCAGCACAGTTCACCCTCAGGAAGACAGATCCTACAGATCAGACTCATACAGGCTCTGGAAATGAGCTCAAATCCATTTGGGTAAGGAATCATAAGACCTTAAATTCTCCGAGAACAGTCTATGGTGAAATGGTTCAAGCATCAAATGGCATGCTTTATAGGCCCAGCAACTTTGTGCCCCAAAGGAGAGCCAAGGTTTGCTGTGCTCCCAGCCTCCTCGCGGCAACCCCTGCTGTAACTGCTGCTGCTCCCCCGTCACCACCTTCTCCAAGAAGGTGGCTGTGCCTCCCATATACACTGATCTTGCCATTTGCCGGGGATGTCTTAACCAAGGGCTATGGCTTTGACATAATAAAACTTGATTTGAAAACAAAGTCCGAGAATGGATTGAAATTTACCAGCTCAGACTCTGTCAACACGGAAACCACCAAAGTGAACATAGTATGGAAACCAAGTACAGACGGACTGAATATGGGCTAACATTTACAGAGAAATGGAACAGACAACACCCTGGGCACCGAGATCACTGGGGAAGACCAGCTTGCTCATGGACTGAAGCTGACCTTTGATCCATCTTTCTCACCTAACACTTGAGGGGGTGGTGTTGCTAAAATCAAGACAGGGTACAAGAGGGAGCATATCAACCTGGGCTGTGAGATGGACTCTGACATTGCTGGCCCTCAACCCAGCAATGGTGCTCTGGTGCTTGGCTAGGAGGGTTGGCTGGCTACCAGATGAATTTTGAGATCCTAAAGTCCCGAATGACCCAGAGCAACTTCATAGCTGGCGACAAGACGAACGAATTCCAGCTTCATATTAATGTGAACAACGGGACAGAGTTTGGTGTCTCCATTTACCAGAAGGTGAACAAGAAGTTGGAGACTGCTGTCAATCTCGCCTGGATTGCAGGAAACAGTAACACTCGCTTTGGAATAGCAGCCAAGTATCAGGTCGACCCTGATGCCTGCTTTACGGCCAAAGTGAACAACTTCAGCCTGATTGGCTTAGGATACACACAGACCCTAAAACCAGGTATCAAACTCAAAGTGACAATGTCAGCCCTGCTGGATGATAAGAATGTCAATGAGGGCAGCCACAAGCTTGGTTTAGGACTAGAATTTTCAAGCATAAATGAATATTGTACAATCATTTAATTTTAAACTATTTTGTAGCATAGCTACCTTCAGAATTTAGTTACCTTTTAATGCTCTATGTTGGGGATGCGAGAGTTGATAAATACTACACTAGAACTAAGGATTCTAGGATACTACACTAGAACTAGGCTAAGGATTTTTAAGGTGTTTACCATTTCAGAGGTACAGCAGAAACCCCATTCCAGAAAGGGTCCTTTTTAGCTGTAGGCATGGGTTGGGGAGGAGCCCCTCTAGAGATGCCAGGCTGCAAGTAGAACCTGGGAACATGTGGACCCTTTGTAAATCTGTACCCAGTCCCCAGATGAAATTGTGACTTCATGAGCATCAACCCCTGGTGTCCCAATCCTATCTGCTCGGAAGCATGTACACACCTGCCACCTTCGTGAAAGGGATGTTTTCAGAGAGATCGTTATGTCCTGTTCCCATCATGCCCTGTTCCCATCCTAGCCTATCAGTTACCTGTTTTACACCAAAAATAGTCTTTAGAGTGTGGTTAGCTATTTCTTTTGTGCCATTTTAGGGTGGACAAAGTGGGCATGATAGAGCCAGTCATTCAGGACTTAATTCTTCCTTGTGTTGTGGTGTGGTTTTCTTTCTTTCTTCTATTTTTTTTAATTCTTTTTTTTTTTTTTTTTTTTTTTGCCATTGCAACAGAGTATGAAATAGCTTCTGGGTTCTCTGGCTCTGAGTGATTGTGCTCACACCCTGACAACACTAGGAATCTCAACTGACTCCTCTTGTAGCCTCACCACCATTTTTTGCCAGTAGGTACATTATAGAGTCTTCCATTTTGTGTGGAATTAGCTTCTCCCCTTCAAATGCTATAGTTAACATCACTTAAAATAAAACTTGAATAAAATATTGAAGAAGAAAAAAAAAGAAAGAAAGAAAGGAAAGCCAACGTGGAACTCCAAAGGTATAGATGGGGGCAGACACCTTTGTTGCCAAGAGTAGTTTTGGCATAAAACCACACAACATTCTTAACCTGAATAACAGTCATGTGGTTATTTGGGTTATTTTGTTAACCCACACCTGTAAGTTTTATGCATTTTTAATACAAATAATAGGATAGCTATCATATGCTTGCTGATAAGATACACTGAGGGCAGAAATCAACACACAACCTGGGTGTAACATGAAGACACAGTCAAACAGATGCAAATACGGGGATGAAACAAAAGGCCTACATGTTTGACATATGTCATTAGAAAAGATGAATATAGCTACAAAACTATTCCACAATTCAAACATATAACTATTGAGTTCCATGAACCTATACTAGATTCTGGACCAGAAGAGAAAATGTCATAAAGAACATTCTTGAGACAACTGATTCAATTAAATATAACAACTGATATTACATCAATGTTAGATTTTCTTATTTCAACAACTGGAATAGAATTATAAAAAAATAAAAGTCCTTATTCTTACACTATCTCCCCTTGAAATACTTAGGGGTAAAGAGCCACATATGCAACAAAGATTGCATATGTAGTGACAAAGCAAATGTAACACAATGGTAATAATGGGCTCTAAGAAAGGGCGCATGCAGCAAACTACTCTTGTAACTTCAAAATATTTTCAAAATAATGGGTTCACCTCCCACGTGCCAGGATTACAAGCAAGCACCACCATCCCCAGCTATATATCCTTTAAATACTAGAATATTTTGATATTTGGTCTACAGGTCTCCTTTGTAACTTTGCTAGGCTCTGTACCCCAGTCAGCTATAAAAGCAGGTAGGATAAAGGCTTCGCTGCTTATTCTTCCAGCTCACTTTGTGGCTTTCGGATCTTTTTTTTTTTTTATCTTTCAAAAAATAAATTTTAACTTTGGGGAAAATTCCACAACACTGAAGAGGGAAAATTAGGTAACTACAGAAATAACAAAACGTTCATCCTTGAATTCATCTGTAAGATCACAGCTGTCGGCCAATGGGTACTGAATGAGGTCCACCCATGGAGAAGTGCTGCATGCACACCTGATTATTGCTTCTAAATCCAGTACTCTCCCTGTACAATAAGAGACATGGTTTAACCAGGACCTTAACTTTCTACTTCCAAACAAGCATAAATTTGTAATCTACTTCACATGGAGGGAAATCCTTCATTTTAACTAATACCAGTGATGTCGTGCAAAGCCCTGCAGGTAACGTGGAGAGACACATGCAACACAAGTACTGCCCTCAAGAAGGCAACTTAGCAGTGTCAAGTGGAATTTAAACAAGAATCCTAGCTATTCCACACAGTAGCTCCATGGCCTACTTTACACCTGAGATTCCAATTTCTCAATAGGACTTTCTCAACTGTCTTTAAGGGTTACATAGTAAGTGTTGACGGCTGACAGCATATATAACAGAATAAAGGGCATTTGATCAAAAGTCACTATGTATATAAGAACCTAATGAAAATAAAGCAATAGAAAACAGTACCAAAGACATAAAGCCAATTAAGGTTATAAGTCATTACTTCAAATTTCTAATCCAAGTACATTTACTCTCCCTAAACATCAAATAATATAAATAAATGTTTGAGTGTGAGGACCAAGAGCTCCCAACATTTGGCAAATAGCACCAAGAAAAAGGGTACAACATTATTTTTCTCATTAAGCAAAAGGATATTAGGGCAAGAAGTGATCTACACAAGCTGGGCAGTGGTGGCGCACGCCTTTAATCCCAGCACTTGGGAGGCAGAGGCAGGCAGATCTCTGAGTTCGAGGCTAGCCTGGCCTACAGAATGAGTTCTAGGACATCTGGGGCTACAGAGAGAAACCCTGTCCTGAACAAGCAAAAAACAAGAAAAGGAAGAAGTGATATACACAGCTTTACAAGATGTTGTAACCTCATCTGAGACACCACTGTTTACGGCACTTAGGAAATAGAATAAATGCTAGGACAAGAGGAATTTCCTCTAACTAGTCTCCAACCTTTTTTCATCAACAGTTTTGCTAAATTCAGTGTATTTCAAGCAGTTTAGTGGCAAAGAATTCCCTTTCTATTAATTTGAGTCCTACAGTCTAACTCCATTAGACTGCACTGCTCATTAGCAAGGCCTAATAAGTTGGTTTCCAAGCATCCGTGATAGATGCAAACCAACACCCAATGATAAAAATAAATAAAGCCATATTTCAAGCCTGCTAAAACGATGGATCTCAAAGTATTCACTATGCTTTTTATTCTCCAGCCTTCCTAGGACAACATGAGCATGAAAAACAAGGAAAGACATTTAAAAAAAAACTTAAAGACATCATTCATCTATTTTCTGCTATGTACAGCTATTCCAATAAGAAACATATCATTATCATAATTAGGTGAACAAGTACCTGAAAGAGTGCCACCTGTCCTAGGATACGCCACTTCCACATATACTTCAAACGTAGTCTCTGGGTTTTGCCTACAAAGGAAACAAATCATGATTACTGACTAAGGCAGCGTTATGCAAAACACATGGAATCCAGTGTGAAGTAGATTCAATTGAATAGCTGTGAAAGTTTGGGCAGAGTATTTAACTTCTAGGCCACAACCTTCATAGTGTACAAGATAAAAATCGCATTGTGTAACTTTAAGAAAATACACAAAAGTAATCTGGACACAATGTTTGGACACAGTAAATTAACCATGACTATGACTTGACGTGTGTCCTAACTTCTACAGCTACAACTCCATCAGCTGTAGGAAGAATTTTTGAGGAAATTCAGCTCAAAGCACCAACAGTTTAAAGCAGCAGCACACTGTGCTACATTACTAGATAAAATACACATATGACAAAAATGGTGTGTTACTTACAGCTTTGGAATACCAAACTAGAGAAGCAATCACCTCACTAGAATATTGTGAACATGAGAAGTTAATCTAAATTTAAGACATCATTTGCCTGCATTAGCAATACCATATGTATGAATGCTTACTATTATATTCCTTTACCTTTTTACTTTACCTTTTTAATGTCATGAGCATTCATAATAAATTCATGGACAATCACAGCACTACCAGAATGTTTATAGTTGTTACTTCTGCTTTATAAAAGTGTATGGTTGTTATCTTTTCTGCTATAATGAAAAGATAACTACTTCCAGACTGAATAAAAATCATTTAGCAAGCCAGGCACAGTGATACATGCCTTTAACCCCAGCACTTGGGAGGCAAAAGCAGGTGGATCTCTGAAGCCAACCTGATCTACATAGTGAGTACCAGGCCAGCCAGGGCTACATAGAGACCTTGTATTAAAAAAAGATATCATTTATATTTTCAAATATCTAAGTAAACTATATTTTAAACCTGACAACAAAGCTCAGATAAGAACTTTTCTAAGTTATTTAATAATATCTAAAGGTCTAAACTTAAATCAAAGAAATACTTAGAATGCTCCCAGAAAAGCCTACATTTCCTACATGAGATAAATTTTATCTCATGCGATCCTTACTGTGGCACTGTAAGATGTGGGGGTGTTACTCTCACTGTGCAAGTGAGGGGCTTAATAAAATACAGTCTAAAGAACTTGTCTGCCTTCCTTATCTGACTGTCCATGTTTCACTGACTAGACAATGACCTTTGGTCCCTGATACTTTCACATCCTCAGCCCACTGTAAACAGTTGCCATTCTAAACAGTAACAACTTTTTTCTTAGTAATACATAGAATAACCATCCATCATATAAAGAGTAGCATCTTAAGAGTCAAGAAAATAAGGTAATGCTTGCTCTATTTCTGTAGTAGAAAGAAAAATGTTTTCTAATTTGTGAAAGAACAGTTTTTTGATATAAAAAAAATCCTCAGGCTTTAGCTTTAAATAAGTGCCTTGAGTAAAGAGAGTTGACTACTCTAAAATTCAGGGTATTTAAATATATTTTGTTAAATATAGTTAACAAAAAATAAGATACTAAATCAGAGCATCTTACTTTTTAAAAAAATTAAAATAAACTTAAATCTTTGGAGCCTAAAAAGCTTGCATTCTTTTTCCCACCAAAAGGGTAGAAATGACCTTTAAAAATTGGCACCAAAATGTATATGAAATACCACACAGAAACATCCCTTCCAGTCAGAAACCTCAAGGTAGAACATTTGACAAAAGGAGGGCTTCTCTTTCACAAATAGTAGATGGTAGGATATGAAAAGCATTAGGAAGATTGCCACCCAAAAACCTTTCTTTTACAAAAGGCTGGATTTCATCTCAGAACATTGTTCCTCTGGATTAAAACAGATTTCAAAATGTGCTTTACACATAGCTGGAAGTAGTGGCACATCGTTTTAATCAGGAGGATCTCTGTGAGTTCGAGGTCAGTTTGGTCTGCATGGTGAGTTCTAAGACAGCCAGGGACACATGAAGAGACCCCGTTTCAAAAGTAAAATAAAGTAAAATGTGTTCTAAGTAGCCCTAGGTTCCTGTGGATGCTCTTCAAGGGTTCCACACATTTTTTTTTACTTAGTTTCCACTTCTTCAACTTGTATTTAGATGTTATTAAAATTAAAATGAACATCAGCATGTGAAAGTGCAACATTCAGATTCTGAAGGTTACAAACCATGCCTTAACCTGTGTCACAGTACAGACCCACTCTAAGGAAAGAAAGGCCTAACTAGCAGTTCTCATTGTTTCTGCTCCTTCTTTCTTCCTGGAAAGCAGACAGTAGAAAACCATCGTATCATTGCAATAAGTTGCTATGGTCACCAAAGACCTGCACATGCATCTATGCATCAAAACGTACAGTTCTTAGTGCTTGCCTTCTCCCCCCAAGCAGCTTTGGAACAGCTGATCAACTGTCCTCCTTCTTCAAACACATTCTTCTTTTCCCTTCCAGGAGATCACTCTGATGCCTTTCTTACAGGTGCTTCTTTGCTGAACTCCCTCGTAAGGATTCCTGCTCTTGAACCTGATCAAAACTCTGCTTACACTCATTACCTAGATGATCTCATTCAGTCTCATGGCTTTAATTACTGAACAAATGCTAGCAAGCCCCTAAATCCTATCTTCAACCTGACTTCTTCCCTGATTCCAGATTTTTTAAGCCTACTCAACACTTATGCTTAGACATCTCAAACACATTTTAACTTAACATATGTTAGTATTTCCCAAACTTCTACTTCCTGAACTCTACCAGTTATCCAAACCAACAAAACTTACTTTCTCTGGCCTCTTTATATGTCACTACCAACTAGTTAGCAAGCTATGCTTGCTGCTATCAGATTCTGCTCTCAGAATGTATCCAGGTGAGTTGGGAATTTAACATTTAACTCAGCGAAACCATGTCCCTGTGTTCTGCTCCAGCACACACACACTCCAAAAATTAAGTAAATAAAAATCCAGATTGCACTTCGTGGTGCCCACAGTTAATGCATTACTCTCCTGACAGTCTCCCTGCTTCCATTCTTTCTTCCATGTGATTATACCTAAATTTTTCATGCAACAGTCTGTTCATTCTAAAATTCAGACTGTGTCAACCCTTTATGCTAAATGTATCCAAAGCATCCCACATACTCAAACTTCAAATTCTAGTGCTGGATGGATGCAGAACAATATAGATGAATCTAATGCCATTGAACTGAGCACCTTTAAATGGGTACAATAAAAATTTTTATTTTATGTATATTGCCATAATTTTTAAAAATGGAGTTAAAAAGACAAAGGGGAGGCAGAGCTTACATGATCTGGCCTCTGCCTACTTATCCAACTTCACTTCAGATCTCTTTCTCCTGGCTCACTAGACCCAGGCACACTGATCTTTCTGAAGCTCACTCACCCCTATGTTAGGACCTTTCACAGAGAATTTAACATAGTGGTTCTTTCTGTAACTCAAAACCCTGCTCAGAAAGATCAACTTCATTACACTCTCCAGCACCTCATTTAATTCTCCACATTATAGCGGTCCCAAAACTAGTTATGGTTAGCTTCCTCTCCTATACATAAGCTGCTGAAGAAAAGGGATTTTGTCTCTCATGTCAGGTAGTGTTTCCTCCATACCTAACCACATAAATATTAGTAAGGGACAAAGGAAGTGGAAACTAATCTTCCTGGAGTCTAAGAGAAATGACAGGTATGATCATCCAGTTCCAAATGCTTCGATCTTCAGTATGGAATACAATTAATTAGAGGACTAATTAAAAGACAGACTTCTTTCTCCCAGAATCTTCCTAACTAGTAGCCAGCTCATAGTGGTTCTACTTGACTTGTGACCACATTTTAGAACCACTGATCCAGTCAAATTGAATTCTCCCAAATAACTTAGTGTATACAAATAAATTGTACATAAAATGAACAGAGTACATCTCAGTACCTTTCAATGGTATTTTTGTAATGAAATGTTTCAAAGAAAAGGGCAATTTATAGAAACAAGTACCCTGCCTTTTTGTCTCTCCCTCTCCTCTTCATTCTGATGAGGGATAAGTAATAAGCCTAAGATTCTTAGCTTAGCAGGCAGAGTTCTACTGTGTGGACCCAAAGATTACAACAGCCAGTCAGTCAGTCAGTCAGTCGGTCAGTCAGTGTCCCTCCCCCCCCCCCCACAAAAGAAAGAAAGCAGAAGCTGACTAAAATGCTAAGAACAAACTGGTCTATATTTATAAGCTCTAGTCATGCTTACCCATGATGGTTTACATGTTGCCTTATGGAAGAAGTGGTGACTAATGTTGTGACAGGTTATATAACATAACAAATATACATAAGTTATTTTAAGGGCCAATGAAGACAGTGCAGATGGAGGCATTTTTTTTATTTCTCTGCAAATCAAAAAGTAAATTAGAAAGTGCCTCCTCTAAATGCAAATGGCCAAGCAATCCTTTCTTAATTTTCTCATTAAACCTGTAAACAATAAAGGCCATAGCAACTTGCACAGGATCTCTGAGAGCACCTTGAGACCGCTTATTCCTCCAACACTCTTCAAGACACTCAGTATTTTTAACTACTTGGCTAAAGAAGCTGAAAATCCTATTTCTGTCCTATTAACACTCACTGCTAATTTAGAACATATAATGATGCTGAGAATACCATGTTCAGAGCCAATTTTCCAATATGGACCCAAGTTTTCCCAGAGCCCTTTGTGATACATCTTAGCATATTACCATGGAAATGTCCTGGTTCTGCCATAATGCCCCATTATTAATTGCCTTTTACTCTTATACATACCCTCATCTGGGACTCTGCCCACCTGCCAAGTATATTCTTTGCCACTCACTAGCATATCCTATGGTCTTGCACTGTAAGTTCTAGCCATAAAGAAGCAGGATGTCTCTATCAAACCATTTTCCAATTCTAGTAATAGTATTATTACTGTTCAACTACCATCATTTACTAATTATCTCTTGGATTCTGTGATCATAAACAGTGTTTTTGCAGGACCTCACATTATTTTCTACAAAGCCTGTACGTTACATTTAGCCCTGGAAATTAGAACCACTAAAGCC